GACCAGAATCTGCTTCGGCGGGCCGAGGGGCCAGCTCGCGCTGCGCGGCGAGGCTGGGGCTGCCCCCATGGATCCTGGCCTGGCAGCTCTTGAGCCTCTGCGCGCACAGGTCGGCCACCCCCAAAAGGTCGCCGATCAAGATGGCGCTCACAACCTCGGCGAGCGCCCTCATCTCGCAGCCTGTCTCGCCCAGCGTCACTGCAGGGTACTGCGCGTGGACCACGGGTCACAAGGTGCGACAGGAATCGCGCAGCTGACAGAATCTGCCCCGACGCGGCGCCACCGCCTCGAATGCTCAGTTAGCACTCGACCTCCTCGATCGCCAACTGCAAGAGCTGCCCCAGGCACTGGCGAGCGAAGGACGCTATATCCTCGCCCGCGCGAGGAGGAGCCCAGCGAAATTCGTCTTCTCGTCGGGCGCATCGCCCTCGTCCACCACCACCGGCGATAACTTGATGCGCCCGGCCTTGGGCGCGCGTCATCCTCGGGCGGGCCCCCCCGTGCACTCCCACGGTGGCGCTCCGCCCTGGCGGCGAGCACATCGTCAACCTTAGCGTCGTCAGCTTTGCTGTCTGCCCGCCTCGGACCCACTGGATCGCCACCCCCACTCCTCTGCCAGAGCTCCGCCAGCTCCCTCTCGAGGTCGGGCCGCCTGACACCAACTGGCGGGAAGGCGGGCGGAGGGAGCGGGGCCCGCTCGGCGTCGTCGTCGTCGTCGAAGACGGACGCTCCCCCAGCGGGGCCCGCCATCGGGGCATCGCCCACCTCGCTGGGCGGAGGCGGCGCTGTCCCCAGCTCACGCTGGACATCAGGCCTCAAGCGGCACGCGCCCATGCACGCCAGCTCGCGGCCCACGTCGGGGCCCTCCACCTTGCACCCTTCAGCGGCCTCGTCGCAAAAGTGGAGGAGCCCCTTTCCCCTTGCCCCCCTGCGGGAGGCGACGCAGGTAGTTGACGCCCACGCCCTCGACGACGTCGAGGAAAATGGCCTCGAGGAAGGCGCCGTCCTCCCCGTCGACACTGAAAGCCTCGCCCTCCGCTTCCACGAGGAAGCGACCGACGTCGCCGTTCGCCTCGCCACGGACCTCGAGCACATCACCACTCCCCACTGCCGTGAAAGGGGTGAAGCACGACTTATCGCCGACCGCTACCCATGGCTCGGGGGTCGGCCCCCGCTGCGGGGGACGCTCGCGCGGTCCATCGCTCTTCGCCTTCTTGCGGCGCCCTGGGCCCCTGCGAGGCTTCGTAGCAGGAACGACCGCGTCCTCGGCAAGTTGCTCGTCCGCCCCCTTGCGCTTTCCCCGCAAGCCGCGGGGGTCCATGGGCTGGAGCTGCCTCGCTCGCGCCCGACGCCGAGGCAACCTCCGGCTTGGCAACGCTGGCGAGGGCCGACGCGGCTGCTGCTCCCTCCGGCACGGCCGCCGCTGGATTGGCCCTCGGCAGTCGCGGTGGCGGCTTCGGCCGCCTCTGCTCGCGCCGAGGGCCCTGGCCCCAGCGGGGCCCTCGCTATGAGGCGATGGTGCGCCACTGCGCCCGCCTCTTGCCCCCGCGGGGCGACCAACACCCCGTGGGGCGGACCCGGGAATTTGGGTCTAGCGCCGCGGCGCCACCTCCTCCCTGCCGCGGTCCAGCCCGGCCGTCGGGCTGGGGGGCTGTCGCCCGCCGCGCGCCGCCTCAGCGGCCCTAGGTGGGAGGCCAGCCTCTACTGCAGGGCCGCTGCAGCGGGTCGGGGGGCGCCGCGCGGGGCCACCCGAGCACGAACAGCTGCGGAGAAGGCGTTGCGCTACTCGTTGCTCCCCCGCCATACTCCCGTACGCTGAGCTTTAGATGCGTAGCCATGATCATCATCATCATCATCATCATCATCATCATCATCATCATCATCATCATCATCAGCAGCAGCATCATCATTATCATCATCATCATCATCATCAGCAGCAGCAGCATTATCAACATCATCGTCATCATCATCAGCATCAGCGTCATCATCACCACCACCACCACCACCATCATCATCATCAGCATCATCATCAGCATCATTATCATCATCAGCAGCATCAGCATTACCATCAGCATCAGCATCAGCATCATCATCACAGCTACCACCACCACCACCATCATCATCAGCATCATCGTCAGCATCATCACCATCACCATGATCACCACCACCATGATAATCATCATCAGCATCAGCATCAGCATCAGGATCACCATCATCATCACCATAAGCATCGGCAGCAACATCATCATCGGCAGCATCATCATGGCCAGCATCATCAGCATCATCATCATCATCATCATCATCATCATCATCATCATCATCATCGTCATCAGCAGCATGATCATCATCCTCCGCAGCATCAGCATCATCAGCATCACCATCATCATCATCATCAATCTCATCATCGTCATCATCATCATCGTCATCATCATCGTCATCCTCCTCCTCAGCATCATCAATATCATCATCATAGTCATCATCATCACCATCGACATCGACATCAGCATCATCATCGTCAGCAGCAGCACCACCACCATCATCCTTATCGCCGTCATCAGAATAAGCATCACCGTCATTAGCTTCAGCGTCCTCGTCATCATCATCACTAGCATCCTAAACAGTAAGATCATAATGACTATCATCATCCTCATCAGCATCATCAGCAGCATCCGCATCAGCAGCATCATCATCACCACAAGCAGCAGCATCATCACCACCATCACCATCCCCATCACCATCATCATAATCATCATCAACGGCCTCGTCCACCACCTGACGTTCCTCTCCTTCACCTTCCTCATCGCTCCTACCTCCCCGCTCTTTGTTGCATCCCCCTCCTTCTCCCTTAGTCCTCCCCCATTCCTTCTTTCCAGCTGCCTGCTCCTCGTGCTCCTCCTCATCCTCCGTTTCCTCCTCCTCGTCATCCTTCTCCTTTTCCTCCTCCTCAGCATCTTCGTGTTCCTCCTAACCTTCCTCGGCCTCCCCCATATCATCCTCCTACACCTCCGACTCCCCCTCAAAATCGTCAACTTCATCATCATCATCATCATCATCAGCATCATCACCATCATCATCATCATCATCATCAGCATCATCATCATCAGCAGCAGCATCAGCAGCAGCAGCAGCATCAGCAGCATCATCATCATCATCAGCAGCATCATCAGCATAATCAGCATCATCATCGTCAGCATCAGCATCAGCATCAGCATCAGCATCATCATCATCAGCATCATCACCAGCATCATCAGCATCATCAGTATCCTCATCATCCTCAACCTCATCCTCCTCATCATCACCAGCATCACCAGCATCAGCATCATCCAACATCATCATCATCATCATGATCATCATCATCATGATCATCATGAGCAGCAGTTTTACCATCATCAGCAGCATCAGCAGCAGCATCAACAACATCATCATCAGCATCCTCATTATCATGCTCATCCTCGTCATCATCCTGATGATCCTCCTCATCCTCATCAGCATCATCACCATCAGCAGCAGCATCCTAATCATCATCGTCGTCATCGTCAGCGCCATCGTCATCGTCATCGTCATCATCGTCATCATCATCATCATCATCATCAGCATCAGCATCATCATCATCATCATCATCACCACACTCATCATCATCATCATCATCATCATCATCAGCAGCATCATCATCATCATCAGTCGGAGCCGCAGCATCACCAGCATCATAAGTATCAGCATCAGCAGCATCATCATTCTAATCAGCACCATCATCATCATCACCATCATAAACAGCAACAACAACAACAACCACAACAACAACAACAGCAACAGCAACAGCAGCAACAACCACAACAACAACAACAGCAGCATCGTCAGCATCATCATCAGCATCAGCAGCAGCATCAGCATCAGCATCATCATCACCATCATCATCATACTCATCTTCCTCCCTTCCTCGGTTCGGTTCGGTTCGGTTCGGAGTTGGGGCAACGGAGTCTTGGACGCAGCCCATACTAAGTGAAAAGTGTGACAGTGCACAGTGCAGACGACGACGACGACGACGATAATGACAGCCCTCCTCCTCCTCCTCTTCCTCCTCCTCCTTCGCCTCATCTTCCTCCTCCTTCTCCTCCCTCCCTCCCTCGCTCCCTCGCTCCCTCGCTCCCTCCTTCCCGCTCTCCCTCCCTCCCCCATCCTTCGCAGATCGGCCCGAGGACAGCCCGAAGGCTCGCCATTCTCCCCGCTTGGGCGTGCGCCCCACCACGCATACCTGGCTCTCTCCCTCTACTCTCCCTCCTTTCCTCCCTCCCTCCTCCCTCATCCATCCTCCTACATTCAACACTTCCGCATAATGAGCAATACTCCCGGATCCTGTCCGAGCGATGTCCCTGCTATCCTTCAAATTGGTCACTAGCGCTCAGGAGTTCAAAAAGGTGGTTTCTCAGATGGTGCCGTGTTCAATTGCACAGCTTGAATCTGCAGCGTTGGCCTCATTCTAGAATCGGCGCTTTGCCCGCCGTTCAGAGTGGTCTTATCGCCCAAGCGCGAGCTAAAATTCTGGATCCGAATGCTTCCTCGTCGGTGTTGCCCCGCTCGCTTCCCCTCCTCCGCTTTCCCCTGGTCCTCCTGCTCCTCCCGCTCTTCGTACTCCTGCTCCTGCTGCCGTTGGTCCTCATCGGCCTCCTTCTTCCTCGTCGTCATCCTCTTCCTCTTCCTCCTGCGCACCCTTTGAACAAACAGCTCCCGTCTCTGATTGAGCATCACACTATGGGGTCATGCTTCGAATCCAGTCCGCCAGGACACACGTCGGCCTTTAGTGAAAAAACACCGCAGCGGGAAGGAATGGCCTGGGGGACTAGGATGTCAGCTATGGCGCGAGCGCACCTAGCTTGCCTCTCCCATCTCTCGTCTCCCATCTCCCGTCCCTTCCCCGTGCCCCTTTCTGTTGATCGCCCCCTTCCCTTCTCCTGCAAACGCTCCCCCGACGCGCGGCACTGGAACCAAAGGGAGCCCCAGGCCTCGGCGAGGTCGTCGTCGCGCAGCCACACCTCCGCGCGGCGAGCCCTCTGCTGTCAGGGGGAGGATGAGGCGAGGGCGGGGAGGAGAGGAGGGGAAGGACGGAAGGCGGGGAGGCGGGGAGGAGGGGAGAGAGAGAGGGAGACAAGCTAGGTGCGCCCGCACCATATCTGACATCCTACCCCTCCCACCCATTCATTTCTCATTGCGCTGATGTGTTCTCGATCAGCGGACGCGTGCCACAGTGAGCCTGGAACTCCAAAACTGAACCTTTGCCTTATTTTATCGTGTTATGCGCAACCGCACAAAATGGCACCTGCGTACATGGAGGAGGCGGAGCAGGAGGAGGAGGAGGAGGAGGAGGAGGAGGGGGAGGAGGAGGAGGAGGGGAGGGAGTCGGCATATGAGCAGGGAGACGAGCAGGGGGATGGGTAAGGATGGGAAAGGAGGAGGAGGAGGAGGAGGAGGAGGAGGACGTGGAAGAACAGCAGCAGCAGAAACTGGAATGGAAGGAGCGGGACGAGCAGGAGAACCAGGGGAAAGCGGAGCAGGGGATAAGAGGGGTGCGACAACGACGAGGAAGGACTAAGATTCAGACAAGTGGCCCACGCTGTGGCGAGGGCGCCATTCTGAACGACGGGAGCAAAGCCCCGATCCTTAAAAGCGGTCGCCGGCGGTCTCTGGCGGTCTCCGACGGGCCTCGGCGGCCTCTTGCGGCCTTCGGCACGAAGAGCTGGGCGCCTGCAGGATCGAACACATAATGACACCAGTACTGATGGGCCGATTTTCCACCACCACTACCATAGGTAGGGTAGGTAGGAGAAGGAGGAGGAAGGCGAGGAGGAGGAGGAGGAGGAGGAGGAGGAGGAGGACCTCCCCATCCTCCGTTCTCCCCCGTCCTACCGATGGTAGCGGCGGTGGAAAATTTGCCCATCAAGCACTATGGGGCGAGGATTTGCACGTATCCACCACGATGTCCCAAGGCCCCCAGAGGCAGCGCATATGGATGCCTTCGGGGCCCGCCAGGGGACGAAACCGTCTCCGCCGCCGCCTGGGACGCCGGCTCCCCATGCAGTGGATCTGTAGAACCCCCCGCCCCAGAAGTACATCGACTACACGCAAGATTGACCCTGGGTAAGAGTGCCCTTTGGTGCGCGGCTTTTTGGGGAGCCGCGGGGGGCCAACACACAAGCGCGCAAGACGCTGGTGCCACTTCGCCCTCGGCGATCGGGGGACCCCAGGGGGCCCGCACCAAAAGTCACTCCGGCGAAAGGTCTGCGTTGCGTTCCGTCGAATACAGGACGCGGGACCACGCCCGGGAGGGCCTGGAACGTCGCACCCGGCCAGCCCGCGATATCCAGGCGAGCCCCAGGTGCCATCGCCCCTGGCCCCAGGGGGCGGGCGGCAGCGCGCCGCGGCGGGGCGGGCAAGGCGCCCAGGCGGCCCCGCAGCGGGGCGAGGCCTCTTCGAGGCCTCCCCCGTGCTGCGGGGCCGTCTCGGCGCCGCGGGCCTCACTGCGAGGCCTCGCCCCCGTCCGCCTGCGCGAGGTCCCGCAGCGCGCCGTGCCAGGCCTCGGCGGCCCTGCGGAGCGCCTCCTCGTAGGGGCCCCGCGAGGGGTAGGCCTGGCGGACCATCTCTGCGGACCTCCTCAGCTCCTCGGCTTACAGTCGGCCCGTATCAGAAGGGTGCGCGTTGAGGATGCGGGGGCCCTGGACGCCCCTGTCGGAGCTTCTCGAGCGGGGTGCGGCCGACGAAAGTGGCCAAGGATGGACGGAGGAGGCAAGGATGCAAGGGTACCCTTGGGAAGGTTGCCCAACCTTACTGTGCGGGTTGACTGTAGTTGCCCCAATACGCAACACGCACCCCTCCTCAGCGTGCTGACACGGAGCTCAACACGCAGACTGAAATCGTACGCTTGGCGCGACACGTTCGCCAAAACGTGGGCCAACACGCAGCGGGTCAACACGGACGTTCTGAACACGGCACGTGCTGCGTCTCAGAACGGGCGCATCGGGGCAGCTGAGCTCCTCGGAGGTCGCCCTCGCGTCCGCGGGGTCCGCCGCGGCGAGGTCCCGCCTGGCGCGCCAGGCCTCTGGCACGCCAGCCCAGCAGGCGGTCTCCGCGAGCCAGTCTCGGTACCTCTCCAGTCTGAGCTGGTGGACCCTGTGCACCTCCCTCAAGGCCGCCTCGGCCTCCCGTACCGAGGCGTCGGGCCGGATCCTGGGGGCGTCCTCGCTGGCCCTGGCGACGACCTTCGCGACGTGGCCCACGTAGCTCCTGAGGGCCTGCCGGGGCAGGCCGAGGTGGAGCACTGGGGGCGGTGAGAGGGTCGCCTTCCCCTGGGCGACGGGGGAGCTACAGGAGGGGGGGGGAGACGGGAAGGAGGAGGAGGAGGAGGATGGAGGAGGAGGATGGAGGAGGAGGATGGAGGAGGAGGGAGAGGAGGAGGAGGAGGAGGAGGAGGAGGAGGAGGAGGAGGAGGAGGCGGCGGCGGCGGCGGAGGAGGCGGCTAAAAGACGGAGCCCCTCGAGAGGCCAGCCCGTCGAGGCGACGACCAAGAGAAGAGCTGCACACCGAGCGCCCGGAGGCGCCGCACGGCCGAGGAGGCCGCCAGAGGAGCCTGATGCGGAGTCCCTCGTGGGGCCCGCCAGCCGAGGCGACCAAGGAGGAGCAGGAGGAGGAGGAGGAGGAGGACAAGCTAGGAGCTCTCGCGTCATGTCTGACGCCCTGCCCCTCCCCCTCCCATCCCTTGCCATGGCGCGGATCTCCCCTCGATCCACCCAATCGGGTGTCGCAGCATGGCATAGCATTTACATGGCATAGCATGGCGTCGAAGATCAACGCGAAGCATGACATTGCATGGCGTGGCGACGCCCCAAAGTGGGGGCTTCTGCGGCCCAATAAATCAACGAATCGGCACCGAATGTGTAATCACTTCCGATGGTTTCTTCGGGAGGCCATTCTCTAGATGTTGGGGCCTACTTGGAAGGACCGAAAACCATGCTGGGGCATGGAGCTCGAAATAATGACATCTGCGCTGCAGCAGGAGCACGATTCGGAACGAGCGGAAGCGCGGAAATGAGGCCAGCGCTGCAGCGGGAGCACGATTTCGGAACGAGCGGTAGCCCGAAAATGACGCCAGCGCTTCAGCGAGAGCAGACTTATTTATTTATATATATACATACATACATACATATATGTATATACTTACATATATAAATGTATAGATGCATCTATATATATACTATTGCTTAACACACACACACACACTCTCTCTCTCTCACACACGCACACACACGCACACACGCACACGCACACGCACACGCACACGCACACGCACACCACCACACACACACACACACACACACACACACACACACACACACACACACACACACACGCACACACACACACAAAACAAAGCACGCACACACACACACACACACACACACACACACACACACAGAAAAACAAAACGGAAACCCTGTGCGAAAAAACAGTACGCGGAGGGGGGGCCGACATTCCCCGGACGCCACCTGGGGAGAGAGGAGAGTAGAAATCATATTGTGTAATTGTGGAGGGGGAGGGAGGAGGAGGAGGAGGAGGAGGAGGA